CACTCGTTGCGACGAGCAATACACTGCTGCTTCTTTGTCTATAATAGCGATGGCTCTAAAGTGAGTACTTCCATGTATCACGTAGCTATGCACAACTGCCGTGACGCTCTTGTAGGCATGTATGGCGGGACAGGGTCAAGTGTTTCTAGTTGACACTCTAATTAAATACTTGTATTTTTTTGTTTGAGATTGAAAAAAACTGACCAGACTTCAGCATTGAGACATGTAATAAAATATAGAGACGAATATTATCATATCCAATCATACAAGGCCAACACGAAATATCGAGATGCTATTGGCTAAAAGTCAGACAGTCTCATAATTTGGTGCCGTGTCAACAATTGATGCATTACCTTACTTTTGTTGTTTCATCCAATTACATACTTAGTCTCTACCACTGTCGGCCCTCGCGAGGAATGTCTTAAAAATGATAATCCAAACTCAATTAATCTACCACTGTAACATAGTTGTACGTTCTTTAGAATGTCCCAAACCACTGGGAAGTACCGCATGTGTTGACGAGCATCGGAGATTGACCTTTGGGTTGACGCGAATGAACTGAAAGGCATTCAGATTTAGACACGTAGAAATACCTCCAAAACATGTGGTTTGCTTTGGTTGTTGACGAAGCTCTCTGTGAATGTCCAAGACCAAATGATTTAAAGCGCATTTGCATGCGTCCTCGCAGTCAACAACGGGATAATGGCGGCAAGTGAAGCATCGCCCTATCTTGTGGGAGCATGTCATTCAACTCGGTTGGAGCTGTTTCTCGATGATTTAACCTCGCTGTTCTATCCCAACGAGCTTGGGACAATGGGGATTTACTTCCTGGATCGGAACAAAGTGCAGATGTGATGTCCGAGTACAGTAGTATTATCAATACTCTGATTAAAATCAGATTTGAGCTACTATGGGAACAGCCTTTCGACCGGAAAAGGCCAGTGTGGTTATTAACAATATATAGGATAATTGATTATCTAACTATATATGACTAATCCATTTTGAGTTCTACAAGTATGCAAAAACGTTACTGACATTTTTACTGGCATTCCATTGGAAGAAAGAACCAAAATGTGTCCAATGACATGCGCAGGGACGGCCGTTGAATCCATCGAGGGCCCATGCGCCATGCAAGTTTTCGCGGTTGTTCCGGCCTCCGAAAGCGTGCAAATGGCATGTGAAGATGGACGAATAGTCAAGGACACATTCCGAAATCTCTGTGGCTTACTGAGCTCTGTGGACGAAGTTTGAAAATCATAGTATGACCAAAATTTGTACATTCTGCCCTGGCCTGCCTGTTAATAGTAGTACGCTATACTTTGAAGCAATGGGACTCTTAATACTTTGTCGATATGAAACGTATTCACTAGCGTTTATATGTAATTAAATTAGTTTCGTCATGAAAAGTGTTTCGGACATCTGGCAATCAACAGGTTACCATATACAGAACGGTACTATTAGTACTACTAGTACTACGGTACAGTACTGTAGTACAAGTACCTACCGTAGACTTCTGGTACATACAGGATACTTACGACCACGACCCACAGGTCCTGCTTCTCATGGCATCGCTAGCTAGATATATGAGTGATGTGGTAAGTACCGGTAGCTCCATTATGTAGCTCACCAGCGCATCGCGGGTCAGATGAAGAGGATGCAATGGCCATATAATACTCATCTACAGTTGAATCATTGTACAGTACGTCAGCACATCTGGTTGACACACATGCAGCCGATGGATGCGCTAGCCAGTATACAAACCTCCATATCTTTTCCCACCACATGTCACGACCACGTGCTTGAAGTCCTCGAGTTTATACAAATATCTCGGGGATGTTCCTCCGATGTTCCTTCATGTCGACACCACAGTCAGTTCATTTGAGAATTTCCACCATGCTGCGAACCGTGGCTACGATGACGGTTGCTGTCGTTATTGGCCTAGCCGACGCTACGGCTGCCAGCTCCCACAAGATCCCGACCCTTCCTGGCTACAACGACGCCAAGCCCATCAACTTTGATCAGTATGCCGGCCACATTCCGCTGCCCAGCAACGGCCAAAAGATGTTTTACTGGCTCGTGGAATCCGAGTCCAATCCATCCACGGACCCGCTGGTGCTGTGGCTCAATGGTGGCCCTGGCTGCTCGTCTCTCGGTGGCTTCTTCACCGAGTTGGGTCCATTTGTCGTCCAGAGTGACTTGAGCGTCAAACGTAATCCGTACGCGTGGAACCGCAAGGCCAATATGGTGTTCTTGGACTCCCCAGCGGGCGTTGGCTTTAGCCAGCCGGTGCTCAACGCGTCCGAGTACACCGACGACGTGACCGCCGCTCGATCGCGCGAGTTTCTCAAGCAATTTCTGGAGCTGTACCCTCAATACAAGAACCGCGACTTTTACATCACGGGCGAGAGCTACGCCGGCATGTACATTCCGTTCCTTGTCTATAACCTCGTCACAGACCCCGTGGAGAATCTCCACTTGACCGGGTTTGCCATTGGCAACCCGTACACGGACCAAAAACTTGACGGTACACTGACACATCCTGTACAAGTGTGAACATGTGTACGTATTATTGTAGACGGGTCGTACATGGATTACTACTACAGCCACGGGCTCGTGTCTATTGAAACATACCGAGCGATTCAAAACGACTGCCAACCGTCCGAGTTATGGCTATGCCAAGACGGACACCCTGGCTGCTCGGCTTTGTGTGCTGCCACGTATGCAGCCGCGGAACTAAGCATCGACTTTGACGAGATGAATCCGTACTACATTTACGGTGACATTTGTCTCCTTCAAGCCAACCAGACAAAAGCGCTCCGGCTCCAGAAGAACCACATGATACGGCCGCTCACTCATCGCGGCACCATTGATCCTTGCACCGATACCTTTACAACCTTATACTTGAACCAGCCCCAAGTTTTGACGGCGATTCACGTGGATGGGGGGGCTAGCCAGTCGTTTTCTGATTGCAGCGACGGCGTCATTGAGCTGTACTCGTCTAGCTTGACTGTGCTGGACAAATACCCCACGATCCTCCAAGCTGGCTTGAAAGGTCTCATCTACAGCGGGGATGCCGACGCCATTGTCAACTTTATCGGCACCCAGCGCTGGCTCACAGACGATGGGCTTAACCTGACCGTGACTGAGAAGTGGAAAGCCTGGATTGGCCCGGACAAACAACTGTCGGGGTACACTGAACGGTACACCAACTTGACGTTTACGACCATCAAGGGCGCTGGCCACATGGTGCCAGCCACAAGACCGTTGCATGCATTGTACTTGTTCGAGTGTTTTGTGTACGGTCAAGTGGCGTGCGACTCATTTGCGTACCCGAAAGACCCCACCGAGTACTTAAGTGGCGCTGACTTGACAGCGCCGGTGACTAGTAGTACTAGCGAAGCCAATTTGGTGTACTTGTGGTGGGCCCTGGGTGGGGTGGCGATGGTGGTCGTGGGTGTGCTTGGCTGGCGATATGTCGCCACCCAGAAAACCAAGAAGGAAAACGCCAAGTATACTGAATTGACATCTGAAGTCAAGCCCGTGTACTCCACCTAAGAAGAATATAGCATCGTCTATATTTTTACAAGTATAACCGATGCAATGTCTTCGTTTTGGAGGTTTCACACACTGTAAGCTTATGGTATTTCATTGATTACCGGTAGGTGAGCGGAAAGAAATGTATATTGTGTACATGTACGGATAACACGGATAACTTGGCGAATACCCGTAGGACAATTTTATCCGACATTAATGTTATTGGTTAAAAGTTCAATACGTCGTAGGGTTTCATTGGTAGATGACTTTTCATTTTCAATACAAAGACCAAATGTCGTATGTTGGTTTTTATTGAAGTCTCTGACAAGGTGAGGACTTGAACCGTAAGGGTTGCCATGTGTATTGCGTGCAGAGGCTGCAACATGGATTCGAACCCTTCCTCGCGGTTCATGTCCTCGCCTTGTCAGGACATGAACCGTGAGGACACGGCGTGGCTCCTGATGTCACGTGTATTGGGTGCAGAGGCTTTATGTCACGGCTGGCCCCCATTTGCGTGAAGACGTTAAAGTCTGCCATGGACAAGGTCACACGTAATGTGGAGGCCAAAATCGCAGCAGAACTCCCCGACGTATTTGGGCTTTGTATTGACGGGTGGACCGATGGCTCGAAGCACTTTTGCACGATCTTCGCAACGTACGCTGTGGCCAATGTGCGCCATACACCTCTGCTCGCAATGTCGCCACTCTTGAAGCCCGACAGCATGGATGCCGACCCTCACATCGCTTTCATCGCGGAAACACTTGACCTCTGTGGCATAGAGCTGGCAAATCTCGCCTTTGTCACTGGCGACAATTGTTCTACCAACGTCTCTATGGCGGCTAAAATGGGCGTTCCTCTTGTCGGGTGCTACTCGCACAACTTCAACTTGGCCATGAAGGCATTGTTGGTGCTGTACGAAAGCGACCTGTTATCCATACACGCAATTATGACGAGGCTTGGTCGACTCCGCCCAGCTGGTGCAGTTACGCGCTTCACTGACTTATTGCCAGTTTGTCGAAACGTAACGCGGTGGTCATCGACATTTCAAATGGTCCAACGCTACCTAGCGCTGTTACGATTTTTACCGGAGGTCTCAGGGGTGCGAGATCTGTTGTTGCTCAGCGGACAGAATACTCGTGTGAAAAAGCTCTTCTTTGTGCTTGAGCAATTCAAAAGCGTGACAAGACAACTCCAAGCGGAAGATCTTGACATGGCGGATGCACGGACTATGTTTCATGGACTACACTGTCGGCACCCAACGTTGCCATATCTGGCTTTAAACGCGGAGATCCACCACTGTCCTAACTTTGACAATGGTGTGGCGAAGGTGTTGTCGTTACGCGAAGACGAGCTGACTACTGCTGAGAAGGCTGCATTGGTCATGTTCCTGTTGGACCCTGACAGTGTTGCAGTACCCAGCACGCCGTTGAGTTACGCGGACGAACGTTTGGCTCCAAAACGTCGCCGAATGGGACCAACAGCAAGCAAGTACTGCTGCTTGAAGTTTGTCCTTCCAACGACCAACTTGGTCGAACGGCTCTTCAGCGTCGCGCAGTACATATTGACAGACCATAGAAAGCACTTGTATCCGGTAAATTTCGAGATGATCATATTCCTTCGCGCGAATACATTGTATTGGAGTGTTTTCTCCCTCATGTAATAATATACTACATAATTTGAACAATTATCGATATGTTGCATTAGAAAACAATTATTTATTATTGAGGTCGTCGAATATCGTGAAATCTATTGGCCGAGGCGGCATTTTAGATAGTCACAATAAATATATTTTTTCGGAAGCCTGCTGACCACAGCTCTTGGTGTGTCCCATGGAGGCGTGGGTACAGGAGTCCTGTCACCTCCAGGGACGTTGCAATGGCTTTAATTTCCATTGATGAATATAGAAATGGTACAGTTAAAGATGCCATGACGAAGATACGTGAGCGTCAGTACAATGGTAAAAGAGCGTATCGTGGTCGGCGACCCCTCGCTTTAGTAGACACACCAACGTCAGCATGCTGCAGTCTACTGCATCATTCGTGAGTTTACCATCGACAGCACGTCCCAAAATGTGGCACTGCCAGTTCGCCTGGTGTACAGTACATCAACTTGATCTCGGTGTCGGGGACGACAGGTTGGCGAGCTTCAGTGGTGTCGTCTCCGTGACGCATAGCCCCGAGTATATGTACAATTTCATTGCTAGGTTGATAAGTATGTCGTATGTAGCACCCATCGTAACTCCAATTGTGCGAAATGGTGGGTCAGTGAAGTTGTTGCTAACGTTAATGCAGTTGTTTAACGCAAGCACCGGAACACAAACTCCTTCGAGCCCCAGTGTAATGGCCCTGGCAACACCGGGTTCCTGCGAATTCACATAGATCAACATGCCGTGTGCGTCGGTGGACGTTCGAACGACCTGTCAAAAGATGTCGTTTATGTATGTACATCAAGCACAACAGCTACTTCTCTGTTCTCGTACTAGTCAAAACTCCTCATCTTGTTTGCTTATCTTTGTTCTCGGGATGCTGAGTCGAGGTCATGGTTGTTTTCGGGATATGCTGTGTCAAAGTCTTGGTTATTGTAAGTTGATCCGACTGTGTTTTCAACAAATAGTAAGCTGTATATATTCAATGTGAACGATAAGTTGCTCCCACGTCAACTACATCGCCCAATCGGATTGTCTAAAAAATAACTGACCAATCAAAATTCAACTAGTTGTGGGTTATCCAATCACCGACTTCAAATTTGTCGGTTTGATGTCGGATGCCACCTACATGTACTAATAGCACATTAACCAGAAAAAGCAAGGTGAAACAGGGGCAGCTAAATCCTATTGAGGTAGGATTTAGTCTGCTAAAGCGCTGGATTCACAAGTATCCCATGGCATTTCGCTTCAATGTTCGTGCTTTATTAGATGTGGCGATTGTAGAGTGCACCAAAAAAAGAGAGGATATGATACAATATGTATCGCCATTGCGGTTATGATACTACAGCGTTAGACCAAGAAACATTTCTCCGAGAATATGGCAACAAAAAAATATAGCAGTGCACCACCCACGGCTGTGAACTGCGTCTTGCAGCTCCTTGTACATGTGGTTCTTTGCGTTGTCCAAAATCAAAATTGAACGCCGCAGCGGCCAAGGATTCAAATACGACAGAATATTTTTGACCATGACGCCGTGAAACGTAGCATAATCAAATGTTCCTAAAAATTCTAATAAATATAAATTAAGACATGGAACGCCAAAAATATTATACCATCCACATAATCCCACGCTAAAAATGCGGACTTTGTAAATGCCGCTAGTGCTGACACCCGCTGGCCGGGAGTGAATGGTAATTCTATAATCGGCTTTTTGTTGCGCTTCGACCAAGCGTACTTGCGAAACGAATCACGTCCGTCTTTGGAAGTCTCGTCGACAAAAACAAGCTGGTCAGGGTACGAGTAGTAAGGGCTTAATCGCCGATAGTAATCGCGTAGCTCTAAATCGGCAGACTCTCGCACTCGTCGGTCTAAGACTAATTACACACGAATAAATACTGAAAATATATTCGAAACTTTAATACCTTTTCGCGTCAAACCTAAGTAATGCATGAGTGCTCTACATATCGTTACCGCAGATACAATCTTGAGCGTCGGAAACTGGTGTCGCAGTGCGTCTTCAAGCTCCTCGATGTAGAAGCATGGATGGACTGTGGCGTACTCGTTCAACCAGTCTCTGACGTCAGTAGGCCAGCGTGACTCCGTCGAGCGCTTCGTCAACTTAGTCACATTGCCCGTAGATATAAACATCGTGTTGAATCTTGCTACGCTACGTCGTGAGAGTCCAAGTATGAGGCGAATGACGTCAACTAAATGCCATAAACTTGGACAAGCACAACACATCTCCAACGCATGTCGATGCTGATCATTGTAAAACAAGTTGAATAAGATAAAACCGTACACCTAATGTAAATTCGTTTGAAACCATTGGAATATTTTATGCAAATTGTTTGACATTACTACAAACTAATGTGATCAATGCCCTCAATGTTCACGCTTGGTCCGACTACTTCCCCCACTATTGGTTCCCGAAGGATGGTGTCAAGTCGAATGGAGGAATTCCTAGTATGCTGCGGAGATCTTCAACGGACAGAAAACAATTCACCGGGCACTAGCCATCGTGCCAAACCGAAACGAACCCTACGGTACGTTTCCGTGGTCGGGGTACCGGCATTCGTCGGCATGACGTGAATCCGTAAGGTCAATATGACCGAGTTGCTGCATTGTAGCATTTGCGGGAATTTCAACGGGGGCGGTCGGCGGCAACCTTGCCGTCACAACCGTTGCATAGTCGATTTGGAGAGGGCCAAGGAGAAGGCTCTGGTCTTCAATGTATCCCGCAACGCGGGTTGCCGCAGTCACGAGGTTGTTAGAAGTTGCTCGTCTAGTAGCGGTGCTGGTATCCTTTCTATTTCGTAATTTACACTAATTTAATAATCGGGACATAATTTTGACATATTCATATATTTCGAGTTTTTTACCGACGTAAATGAACAGCAACAATGTGAACGATGCTTAGGCATTGCGGACCTTGCTTGCGTTGTCCCAAACTCGCCGTTCCACGTCATTGTGGTTTAGCAGTGTGAGTTTGACTTACTTGTCTTGTGTTGTGTTGGCCGCAACCTTTACATAAAATTCCTTTGGACCTTCCGGGTCCCACAGAAGCTTCGCGTTCGACGCGTCAGCGTGGTAGTCGGCGATGTGGACGCCCAGGGCAGAAACAACACCAAACGAAGTATCGCTGGCCACGGTGAGCTCGGTCGGCTTACCAACGCTCGTTCTACTCTTGCCCAAGGGTTTATCTACCTTGGCAGTGATGTGGCACCGAAAGTACTCGTTCAATCGATCCCGCTGCATGTTGGCCTTGTCCACTTTGCCAGTGAGATGGTCCAGTAAATAACGACCTGACTTTATGTCGCTCATGTGCCAGACTCTCGATTTGTGTTGCTTAACGTATGGTTTTAATTTTGTCATCCATTGATTAGTGCGCTAAAACAATGGGCAAATTGGATGAAAAGCACAATAGATATTAACGTAAACTAAATTAGATATCCACGGTATTGTGCAACGCTCACAGACCGGAAAGCTTTCACTCATCCCAGCAAAGAAGGAGAGCACATTAAGAAAACCGTCGCGTACCACTTGGGCGAGTTGCAGCGGTGATTCGCCTCTGGTGATCTTAACGAGGACCTTCTCTGTAACATAGACGAGACGCGCTTTGTAATCAACGTCGACAACGGTTCCTACACTGGATTTTGTGGCGACACTGATGTAATGTATGTAGACGTAGTCTCTGCTGGGGTCGAAATGACCATGATGGTGTACATTACTGGTGGGTCGCGCGCGCGAATCGGACTTCCAATCATGATATTCCAAAACCTAAACCGATCATACCCCATTCAGGGCCCCCCAGACAATGTACCTGGTGCCTCCTACCTATCAGAACCCAAAGGATGGAATGATATGAAGATTGGATACTATAAGTGGTATAAATCATAAATAGATTCTACATACGAAATATCAAGACGGTTATGTTCGTCGATAATTGCGGCGGTCACAACGGCAGTGGAGAATTGGGTTCGATTCTCCAAACAACCAACACTGAGTTGCAGTGCTTTCCTCTGTGCGCAACAGACCTTGTCCAACCGGCCGAGTCGTTTATGATTTCCAAAATCTAGGTCGAATGGATACGTCTGTGGAGGTCGAGAAGATGCGAATGATCCAACAAGGCGATTGATCCGACAATTTTCGCTCCGTTGGGGTGTGGTCTGGCAAGCTGCAGAATCCAGGGAACGGCTTTTCCTAGAGCTAGTGACGAAGTCAGTAAGGGCCATTAATGCCATGCGTGACGGTGTGGGTCTTTCGTACGTTCGCAAGGCAATCATCCGATGTAGTATGGCTGTGGACATTTGTGGACGTTGGCGTTAAGGTCAACTCACCTTGGAACTGCAGAAAATCGTTGAGAAGCATCGAACACACTTTAATGGCTCCCCTGTACCGGTAGAAGAACCAGTACTCAAATAACATACTCCAGAGAATATGTTTGCGTAATGATCATCTGACATTTTCAGCACTAATTATCCACATTCAGATATAATGCGGCCCTTACTAATTCTCCAAGCTCTTAATTAGTGCGGATTCTAACACACATGCAACAGGTCTGCCTGGTGAGGATGTTGAAAATTCGTGCGGTCCGCACTAATTACGGTCAACGGAAATCTTCACCCAGTGGTACTTCGATTTGCATTTAGAATTTGTACGTATGGTGCTACATGGTAGAACTCCACGTCATCTTCTTGTTCCATCGCGTAGATATCTTTCGTCGTCCACGACATTTCAACCCGACAACTTTATGATTGGTCAAAATGTATCCCCAGAATGCAATTTTGATTGCCGAGCTGTGAGACTTCTCCAATAACCTCATTTCACAAAAGACCAAGATCACATCACTTCATTCGCCCCTCGCGCTTTCGCTTGCGGACTTCAGACAAGATATTGCTGTAAGAGCTGGTGTGACCTACATATGCAGCCTCAAACATCTCATAACTAACATACTTTGAAAAGGCAAGCGAAGAGGTCAAGCGCCCAGAGTATTTCCGGCGGTTGGCCCGGACCATTTGTTTGTTGAACAATGGCGGGGTTGAAACAACCCGTCCGCCGGGTCTCCGGTAAACGATTTTGTCCATGCTTCATTTGCTGACCGTGCAGTAGTACAACTGCGTGCGAAACGAAGCTATCCAGCGTCATTTGACGCTTCGACTTGGCAGCCACAGGCAGCGGCAGCGTGCGGGCGACATCGGCGGCGACGACAGCGGCAGGTAAAATATGCACGTTGTTTTGGAGGGACTTGACAATTGCGTTGCAGAGGTGTTGTACGTTGATTTCGGCGACAGTTGAGTTGCTGGTGTTCGTGTGCGTGCTGATGCGTACTAGTAGTAGATGCCTTGGATCGATTTCGTTTGTACTGCTGCGTGTAATAAGAGTCACAGCATGTCTTTGCACCATCCCATCTGCACCATGCTATGACCTCTCTGAAATTGAACCGACGCTCTGGGGACTCGAACACTCGGTAAAAACTTCGTCCACGACGCACGCTGTGCAACGTAATTCCTAAAAAATATTGCAGAACTATTATACTTCGAAGTATACCATGTGAAAAAAATATGTGAGCAAAAAATACCTGTAGGAAGGTCGGAGCACTTTTCAACTGCACTTTTAATGAACAGACGGGCTTGATTTTGATCAAGAAGTGTGTACCAGTTGAACCTGGGGTCCCAGACGATTTGAGTATGTAGGCAGGAAAAACAAACGACTTGACTGTGAAGGCTAAATACGGACTGGCCGGATTGTAATCCGAAAACAACCCACACACACGCAAGCACGTAAACGACTTCTCGTCGACGAGATGGTAGATTTGGCAGTTATTTTACTCACTGGCCTTTTTGTGCAAACGACGTCGGAGCGATACATACTAGCTGTCGCCATCATGTTGGAGGGCGACGTCGTTCCACGTCAGGTTTAGCATTTGGCTGATACGAAAACAGCCAAGGTAGCTCGCGCGGTGACGCAGTGCTGGTTTGCCGGTACTGGTCGGTGGGTGCACCAGCTGGTGGATACCGCAATAGGCCGTCTTGGATGTACAGCAGCCCGTTGGCACACGTTGGTGGCATTCGACGTGAGCGTGGTCGGCGTTGTGCCAATGAATATGTCCGTTTTCGTCGATGCAGACGGTGGTTCCGCCGGTTGTGGCGCAGTGCCGGTGCCGAAGAGTATTTACACGTATATGACAGTCTGTGGTTGACAGCGGTTGGGTCGTGTTGGTAACCGGGTTAGAAGGTAGGTCCTGTGCGGTCAGTGGTGTGTAGTCGGTCAGCTTGGACGTGATATCGCCTCGGTGCGCCACATTGAGACGAAGAGTAACTTTCGTTTGGCGACAATGATGCTCGGATTGATGGATGTTGCTCTTTTCATGACCGAGCGACAGGGCCAATAGGTTGGCGTATCTGGCCTGTGGTAGCCACCGGAGATGTCGTCAACTGTGGCTTCGTCTCGGGGACCGTACTGTCCTGTTTGCCTGGCCGATTGTGGTTACCTTGACCCGGCTAACGTGATACGTGATATGCGACGATTTGCGCTGGTGGTGACCAAAACGTTTTCTGCGGCGTTTGCACCGGCATTGCGGTAGCTTTGCGCACTTTGCTGGCGCAGCGGAAGAGACGGAGGGAATGTCGGTGCGTGGAGTGGCGGCTGGACAGTTGATTTGTCTGCACGGATCGCGGCGCCCCGCCTGTGGGTTATAAGGTAAATTCCGAAATGGAAGAAAATATAAGAAATTCTCTATGTAATCGTGCATAGTTTATTCAAATATTGACCAAACTATACGGATTCGAAACGAATTGACCAATCAATGCTAGGCAAATCCAATGTGACAATTTTTTCGCGAATAGATATTCGTGAAAATAATCAGCTGGAAAGTATTGCGGTGTACTATAGTAGGTTCAGTTGAAGTCCACCAACTTTATTCCATATAAATAGACTGATTCCAGTAGTGAGTACTACTAGTAGTGACACTAAAACCAGTGTGACACACTGCTGAAGTCAAACGCAGTTTGGACAAGCGAGAAGCATAAGCAAACGTTGTGACATCAATAAATTCTCCTTGATACAACAACTCCCTGTAGACCTGTAGTACTCCGAAGTATACTGTAGCTGAACAGTTAATTATGAAGTCGAGATCCAACCACGCGATTTAACGCGGATTTCAGCACGATGTCAAGAGGAATAGACCGGTCAAGGCGGGTTATGTTCAACATTGTCGTTCGGTGACATCAAAGGTTTGCTTCGAGTAACTAATGCCTCATCTTGGCAAGCAAACTACGTCGAATAGGCCTGCAAACAATGTTGGCTAGGTCATATCTCTTAGTAATACTGTACTATCCACGGATAGTACCTCGAAGTAAGGACATATAAATCCTTAGTATAATTGAGGACTAATGCACTAGACTTCGTCCTATATTTTTCCAAGCGCACAGTGACTTTTCCTTAGATTTTCTTCCAAAGTACTTCCTTCGTATCTCAAAAAGAGTGAGGATGTTGTGGCTTTTAAAATTATATGAAATAAACTATGCATCATTTTATAAAATGTTGCTCTTGGTCATATTTTTATTAAAAATACTGCATGCACCCCGAAACATCCTATGATCTACTGTAAAGCATTCTGCGTGGCCTTCAATTTTGAACGTAGGTACTGTATATCGTTTCTCAACTGCGCTCTCAAACACATTTGAGCCACAGTGCGCGCAATGCATGTAGATTATGATAGCCTCACATTATTACCTGCACTTTCATCTATGCTGTGCCTTCTACTCCCCTTTGCAGTTTCATTCTACCGAACACACTCCGCCACTACATGCTTGTACAGAGAACTGCGCACGGTGGCACTCGCAAATAAATAGAAGTTTGTATCGCTGGTGAATCAGATGGAATTTATTTTAAATAAAAATCTGTACTTCAACATTTTCTCATTCTCGTCTGATTGGTTGTATTTTAGCCAATAGGTCGCTTTTTAGCCAATACCCGTGATCGAACTCGGGACAAATTGCAATGACCGGTACGGTCGTTTTGCAATTACAATATTCGAGGACACCTTCGCGATTTAATTCGTCGTACAATGGGTAAGCTGGAGAAATGCTGGATGACTATTGCAAGTAGCACTTTGAGTGTGGGGGGTGAAGGTTCGCATGGGGCCCCATGGGTAGTGCGATCTTTTGGCATACAGTATTTAAATTTTAACACATATATATATCACACAACCTCCAAGTATTTACATTTATTACACTAAATCTCAAAAAATTGAAACGCTTTTTCAAAAGATTTCCGAAAGGAGTCTTCCTTCATATCCTCCGATACCTTGATGGAGCGCTTGATCATAGCAAGGCGCTTTTCTGCGGCAGTGATAACCTTGACCTCCTTGTTCTATTCGTTGCGGCACATTTGTTTGAATGACCCCATAACACCCACATCCAGGGGTCGAAGCACACTCGTCGTGTTTGCCAGTAGCGGCTGTAGGTATGCACTACAAAGCAACACGTCTTCAAGGATCTTGTAGGAATTCTTCGACACATGGCAGGTAAAGTTGTCCGCAAGCATGACTGAGGGGAAGTCCACTTCGGGCTGCAATATTTCACAAAGGTAGAACGACCACACACGCTTGCCCATGTAGGCCTTCTTTTGCACAGCATCCACCGGGCCGGGTGGGTACGTTGGGAGCTCGTCGACTTCAATCTCACCCCCGGAGTTCCTTTGACAATGATCAACAGCGGCATCATCGTACCTCCACATAGTTTTCTTATCATGCTTAACGTTTGCAAGCAATACCATCAGCCCGAACTGATAATTCCGCAGTGATCTTGTCAGAGTGCTTCTGTGTCACCTGAAGGCGTGACGGATCACCAATCTTCGCCAACGTACGTCCTGGTGGTGTAGCGTAGGACACGAAATTTTCATCAATATTGATCACGCACGTTTGGGAAGATAGCCGAACTCGACATGGAATTCGGCTGAGAATGTTTCATGAACAGCAAGATGTTCTCCTTAAGCCAACTTCGCATGACACGGCACTAGGTTACTGAAGCCTTGGAGATTGGCGAACCGGGGGCACCACTGGACCAGACACTTTATGCGCGATCGTCGTTTGACTTGTCGGCGAAGTACGCTGATAGCCATTAAGTCTGGTAGGACTTCACCCACGTTACCAGGTGAGCCGTGATGAGAAAGTGCTCACCGTCTCGGATTGACTCCATAAAGTCCACCAAATCGCTTGAAAAGGTATGGGACTCGCCTCGTCCTTTGCCTTGCAACATCACCCGGCCGCCGTTGTGCGTGGTGCCCAAGTATGTCACCTGATGTCTCTTCTGTTCACGAAACGTGTCCTCCGGGATGTTGAACGACCTTGCGAAGTGTCCGCCACTTGCACCTGAGCCAAACAGTGCATGCATCTGCAGGAATACACGGATTTGGCGGTCCGTATATCTGCCCTTATGACTCTGAGCCACACGTCGAGGTGGTGCCATTGTGAAAATCTTGACTGACAAGTTTGAGTTTTGAATCAGTCAATAGAATTTGAGTATTTCATCTTTGATCAAGTCAATCATGGCGTTTAAATCAATTCCCCCTGATTGGCTATAATTTGGTTAAAATTTAGTCGAGTCAGTTCAACATATAATTATAAAAATACTACGTAGTATTTGCTATTCAACTCTGCGCGAATTCCCACGCACTCCTCTGTATACAGTAGTTCTGAATGTCTTGTCCAGAATACAAGCAACTTCAGGACTCAAGCTTTAAGTTCGTCGTCGAGGTGCGACTGTTTGTATCTTCGTTTCCAGAAACGTTTTCGCCGTTATCAAGTGTGGTCACATTTTACGCGTCGAGACTCTTGATGTGTACTCGAGAGGAATTGGCTCATTTGTGTGTGAAACACGGACCCAATAGTAAACACTCACTCTCTGATACGGAGAGTATCGTCGTGCAAAGTGTTTCGGGCCATTACATTCCCTACCAATGACCATTACATTGGGCAATCTACAGCACTGGTTTTTTAGGGGAAACTATGGGAAAACGTTCAAGAAATCTGAATACCGTTCAGCCAAGACTGAAAACCGTTCAAGCAAATTTTCTTCCCGTAACCCTGTAACCCCGGGACTTCGTCCTACCCCCGCGTGCATAAATGATGATAATCCAAACTCAATTAACCCCGCGTGCACATACTTCGAAGTATAATGCTAAATCCCCAGGGTCAGTTGTTGTGGTCAGAGTACAAAAAATATGCCTAATCTAACTAGAGTTTACATTGTTAATAGTTGAACGGTTTTCAGTCTTGGCTGAACGGTATTCAGATTTGTTGAACGTTTTTCAGGGTTTGTCGTTTTTCAGGTTACCATATACTGTACAGTCCGGTACTAACGTTATTAGTACTACTGTCCTAACGGTGCTGTGAAAGACCTTCTTTGGTTAACTTAATAGCCAATAAATTGATTTGATTTTAGTGTGTCTACCCCATTCGAGATTTTAGTCCAGAACCAATCATACTAGAATCAACGAAAGGAACCCAACGGATGCTCATTGAGTTGCTGTGGTGGAGTAAGGGGTGAACGCGATGCCATGCCACCTCAACGTTGGTGCAGATACGATCGTATGTGCCACGCGTATCGAAGGTGTCGCGTGAACCATGCGCCAAGAGTCGGAGTTTCTGGACAATAGTCCAAGTGTTGCTAGGTACTAGTACGACAAAGTGGTTTGTAATGGAGGAGCGGTAGCTACGGCCATCGGTCGACGAGAAAACGGCTTCGATGGCAACCCCGCAACAGCAACATACAGCACAAGGGCGTCCGTCATCCATACGACGTCGTTGACAAATTTTTGATTGGATACAGCTTATCTTTGTTTACACCAATCAATATGCATTCTACCTGGTTCTCTTGCGAATGACCTTCAGGAGGTCATTCGCAAAAAAGTGTTTGCGAATGAGGTAGAATGAAAAATACGACGATTTGATTGGCTCTACCCATTCTGAGTTTAGTCGGAACAGGTTCTTAAGACCATACTCCACGGTCCTCTTCTCTTAACTCAAAGGTCGTGGTGGATCCCCTAATTTCCGCAAGGATTTATATGTCCCTCCTGGGGAATCCGGATATCAAGGGAGACAAGGACCGAACTTCGAAGAAGATCGGTCGAAGCACGAGGTATGAAGCGTTGAGCGAAGTAAAAACCGAAGATTACACACCGCCTCTGGTGGAGCAGGTGGGTTACAATTGGCGAAGCGGTTCCACATGTGGTTGGAAAGTCTTAAAAATGATCATCCAAACTCAATTAACCACGGTCCTGCTTCTCATGGCATCTCTAGATACCGGTAGATACCGGTACATGAGTGATGTGACAAGTACTGGTAGTTCCGTATAGGTCTTTTGGTAATGTCATGACCCATTTTAACGGAACATTATGGGATATGATGATTACGCTCATAGCATCGTTTTAGGGTTTACCTTGGGGTAAAAGGGGGTTATTTGAGATAACCGTGATATTCTGGGGTAAAAGGGGGTTAAGTGCCTCGTCATGCCACTACCAAAAGACTTACTTCGAAGTATACAGTTTGAGGGGTGTTGTTGTGTTCGAGTGAATGTGCACGGGTACGTCACCTTTTTCCTAGTACTACTATAGTAATACTACTGTCATCCGTTAACCCTTCAACACTGTAAAATGGGTCCTGCCACGTCGAAAAGATCATCTCGTAGTTCCATACTGTAGCTCACCAGCCTCGCGGTTCAGATGTACATATGTACAGTAGAATCAGTCAGCACAGCACACTCACAAGCAGCCGTTGATTGCAACAGCATACAAACCCCAATATATTTCCCATCACACATGTTTGAAGTCCTGGGGTGTATATACGATCTCAGGGATGTTCCTTCGTATGTATCGACGCCACAGTCAGTTGAGAATTTCAATCATGTTGCGAACCATGGCTATGATGACGGTTGCTGTCGCTCTTGCGCTAGCCGACGGTACGGCTGCCAGCTCCCACAAGATCACGACCCTTCCTGGCTACAACGACGCCAAGCCCATCAACTTTGATCAGTATGCCGGCCACATTCCTCTACCCAGCAACGGCCAAAAGATGTTTTACTGGCTCGTGGAATCCGAGTCCAATCCATCCACGGACCCGCTGGTGCTGTGGCTCAATGGCGGCCCTGGCTGCTCGTCTCTCAATGGCTTCTTCACCGAGTTGGGTCCGTTTGTGGTCCAGAGTGACTTGAGCGTCAAACGCAATCCGTACGCGTGGAACCGCAAGGCCAACATGGTGTTCTTGGACTCCCCGGCGGGCGTTGGCTTTAGCCAGCCGGTGCTCAACGCGTCCGAGTACACCGACGACGTGACCGCCGCTCGATCGCGCGAGTTTCTCAAGCAATTTCTGGAGCTGTACCCTCAATACAAGAACCGCGACTTTTACATCACGGGCGAAAGCTACGCCGGCATGTACATTCCGTTTCTTGTCCATAACCTCGTCACAGACCCCGTGGAGAATCTCCACTTGACCGGGTTTGCCATTGGCAACGCGTACACGGACCAAAAACTTGACGGTACACTGACACATCCTGTCCAAGTGTGAACATGTGTACGTATTATTGTAGACGGGTCGTACATGGATTACTACTACAGCCATGGGCTCGTGTCTATTCAAACATACCGAGAGATTCAAAACAACTGCCAACCGTCCGAGCTATGGCTATGCCAAGACGGACACCCTGGCTGCTCGGCTTTGTGTGCTGCCACGTATGCAGCCGCAGAACTAAGCATCGACTTTGACGAGATGGATGCGTACTACATTTACGGCGACATTTGCCTCCTTCAAGCCAACCAGTCGAAAGCGCTCCAGCGCCAGAAGAACCACATGATTCGATCGCTCACTCATCGCGGCACACTGGGGCCTTGTACCGATACGTTCATGACCTTGTACTTGAACCAACCCCAAGTGTTGGCTGCGATTCACGTGGATGGGGGGGCTGGCCAGTCGTTTTCTGATTGCAGCGACGACGTCACTGAGCTGTACTCGTCTAGCTTGACTGTCCTGGACAAGTACCCCACGATCCTCCAAGCTGGCTTGAAAGGTCTCATCTACAGCGGGGACGCTGACTCGGTGGTCAACTTTATCGGCACCCAGCGGTGGCTCACGGACGATGGCCTAAACCTGACCGTGACTGAGAAGTGGAAAACCTGGTTTGGCCCCGACAAGCAACTAGCGGGGTACACTGTACGGTACACCAACTTGACGTTTAAGACGGTTAAGGGAGCCGGCCACATGGTGCCCGCCGCGAGACCGTTGCATGCATTGTACCTGTTTGAGTGTTTTGTGTACGGTCAAGTGGCATGCGACTCGTTTGCGTACCCGAAAGACCCCACCGAGTACTTAAGTGGCGCTGACTTGACGGCCCCTACATCGAACGGACAAGGGGAAGGCGCGGGAGCGGTGGTGTGGTGGTGGCTCGGGTTTGCGGCGGCGGCTGTGGCGGTCGGTGTCTCTGTAGTCGTAATGGTCATGCTCAAGAAGACTCAAATTGACAGGGCCCAGTATGTGGAACTCATGGCTGGACCGCCCAAACCAAAGTATTCTACTTGAGACGGCTTGTAATACAGAGAGAATCAAGTGCATGGGGAAGTGATAGTGGAGAAGTAGAGGGTATTTGGTGACGTGCATATAGCAGGGCTGTGGAGTGATGTACATAGAGTGCTGAGGCTGCCATGATGGCAACGGAGGTGAGTGGAAGACGAGTGTACTTCTAGGTCTACCTTGCATGCACATACATACTCCTTCTGTAGTATGGGAAGTCCTCGGCAACGTCAAGTCGCCAAAAGATGATGGGCACACGCGTCTGGCTGGCAACAAGACGTCCAACAGCTTCATGCTTCCCAGCTACCTACTGTACATGGCGTTGGTGTTTGTCGTAGCGACGTCAGGCGGCCACGCCAACCTCCATCCATGTTCATCAACCATGAACACGAAGGATGCCAGGTGGTGCACGTTTTAAATCAATGGAAAACAATTTAAATCCATACACAACCAAATGGGATACAAACATCAAGTGAAAATACAACACTTGGGAGTATTTTAAAAACTGCGGGAGTGACGAACTCAATCGAGTTCGCGCTGTGTAACAAGTGAACTTGCTTCCATTACAGTACACTGTACCGCAGCTCCGCCGCCGCACCGAGAACGAAGCATGGACCAGGCGCTGCTCATGAAGGAGAAGGGCAACGCTTGCTTTGCCAAGCACAAGTACTCTGCCGCCATCGACTTTTATACTGAAGCCATCGTACTACTATATGTCGCCCCGTCGTCCATCTCACTCTCCATGCCTAGTGTTTGAAGTCGGATGTGGCGGCGTTCTACACCAACCGCGCCCTCAGCTACCTCCACGTACATACGCTCTCCATCTCCTTCTCATCACGCTCGTCGTGACGACAGTCCCCATCTCTCACACACGTCGTCGTCGTCGTCTTGTAGCTCGAGAAGTGGGCGTTGGCGCAAACCGATTGCCGCCGCGCCATTCAACTTGACGCGTCCAATGCCAAAGGTACGATCATCATCAGTATCATCCGCATCGTCGACATGTATACAGTATCATCGATCGTGTCACGTCCCATCTATGTACCTCTTGCCCCCGACCAACTCGACTACATATGTTGTACATACATAGCGCACTACCTCCTGGGCAAGAGTCTATGCCATAACAGCGAATACACTGCGGGCATTGAAGCATTCCAAGCTGCGCTGGCCCTCGCCGCCCAAAGCTCTCAGCTAAAGGTGTCATTCGAGCAGGAAGTGCTGGCGGGGCTGCGCCAGGCCAGGAAACTCAAGTGGCAGGCCGCGCACGACATCCAAACCAGTCGACACGAGCGAGTGACGGCGCTGTTCCATGACATTGTTCACCAGAGTCGCACGCACCAGCTCCACTGCGCCAACACTTCCGCCCCTCAAACCAAAGCGTATGTATATCGGCTCTTGTGCTTAATTTACTAATTATATTATTTGGGTGTAATATGTACGTACAGGTTTAGGGCGGACGAGATGAATTTTTTTATTTATTATTTATTATTTGATTTTTATATATTTATTTTTGTAGAGATATTCACAATGACCACGACACGGTCCTCGCGCACATGATGGAGCTGTTGGAGTTGCAAGTACGTACCTACTAGTACTAGTAGTAGTACTAGTATTATTAGTATCGTCAATCTATGTATGTACATTTTGTAAATCTTTGATTAGATTGAGCCATATATATATATATATATTTAGTAAAAAAATCAAACTTGATTTGTCATCTGTGCAGGATAATCCTACTAGTCAAAATTGGATCGGGTGTAATTCTTTTATATATATGTATATAGTATATATTAGATTAGGCCATATATAAATATAATCAAGCTCGAGTTGTCCTTTGTACGAGATGATCCTAGTAGTCTAAGGTGCACTGCGTCGTATTATATATATATTTAATTTTGTATGTATAGACCACACATATGATATAGTATATAAAACCAAGCTGCAGTTGTCATCTGTGCACGATAATTCAACAGTAGTCTAAATAAGGTGTGTTGAGTGTAATTTTTGGCTCGCGTTTGTCCATTTCTAATGCTTTTATAGAGTGTCCGTTAATGTGCAGAGTTGGTGGTTCGACTTCTCATTATATATATATATTCAAGTACCCTACACTTAACTACCTACGTACCTCTCTTATGGTATTTGCAGCAATATAACATAGATACATAGAAAAATTCAAAAAAATATTTTTTTATAAAGTGAGAGTTCCTGTATTTGGCTACAAATTTCTGGTGCCTTGTGTTAGCAATCGGCTGAGAAGAACCTCGTGCCCGAATACTTTTTATGCCCCATCGGCATGGACATCATGGAAGACCCGGTGACGACCCCCAATGGCGTCAGCTACGACCGCAAGTGGATCGAAGCACATGTAGCGCGATCCCAGATTGATCCTTTGACAAGGGAAAGTCTCCGCGCTAGCCAACTGCGGCCAAATGTATCGCTTCGCCACGCGATAGAAGATTTCTTGACCAAGTACGTACGTTCGTTGCCCTGTTGCTCGAGTAGTACTAGTAGTAGTACTAGTAGTAGTTATACTAACCAAACTCGTTTGTGGATAGGAATCCGTGGGCGTACGAGCAATAAATAGGAGGTACTAGTAGTAATAGCTTGTACTACTAGTACATGTGGTTGATGGTTCAGATTAAATAAAAAAGAAAGACGGTTTTGCATCATTTTATTTCTATTAATAACGTTATTAATAGTACTCCGGAGTATTAGTAATAGTACTACGTATTAACAGTAGTACTTACTACGATCGTTGCGACGAGAACACGCATTATACACCAATCCACGAAGAGATTCGAGTTTGAACGATTTGGATTGGAGGAAAATATATTCAGTCGATTAGTTGGTGTATTAATAGAAGATGTATTAGTAGTATTGTCGATTTGATACAAATTTGAGGGCCGACCAAACCGATCCACAATCGATCTGATTGGTTGAATTTCATTGAGAAGGTTTTGGTTGGCTAATAATTTTGAGCTCATCTCGCCATAACACGAAATTTCACTCAATACTATTGGAGATGTTATTTTGCAGATATCAGTCGCCCTATCCGGAGGTCATGACCGCGGTCATCTTGGAATTTGTATGGTATACAATGTACTATGACCAAGCGGAAATATTCGACGTCGGTGGTTGAACCAATCAAAACAGAGAAGAAGAGCAATTTTCCTACCAATAAGGGTGCGTCATGAA